TTTATGAGGTTGACTCAAAATACCTTTGACATCCTCTTCCTTACTTTCCTCATTCACATCAGCTTTGCTCTCTTCACTGTCTTTAGATTCTTCTGTTGCTTGGGTGGGTTTTTCATCTGTTTCTAATTTTTACAAAGAATAACCATTTTTAATGACAGAAAAGATGATGCTTACTTTCTGCAATCAAAGAGAAAAGTTACGTAAATTGTCAAAATCAGCTTTCCTGAAGTAAATCATATTTATCTGGTGGTTAACCAATGCCTTTGTGTTGATTTTAGAAAACAAGCTGAACTGTTTAATATTTGGGACTTGGTTCACTTGGTGTGTAAAATGCATATGCAAACCATGCATTGGATATACACTGAGAGACACAATTCTACCCAATGTTTAAGAAAGTACTGTAATGCTGTGAATTGGTATCAGTGTGTGTCATTCATCCCACACTTACCTTTCTTTTCTTCTTTAACTTCATCAGTCTCCATCTTTACCTCCTGGGCCGCGTCTTTACTGTCTTCCTTTTCTGATGGCTCATTTCCTTTCTGATCCGTTTCCATGGCTTCCTCTGTCGTTTCTTTCCCTTCATCCTTGTCCTTAAGATATTGCAAAGTAAGAACCAATAAGCCATTTAACATTTACCAGTAATTATTATGTCTCAGTTACTTGGGTAAAAGGTTGGTTACTGTAAAGAGACTTCCTACATCGAACAGATTAGTCACACCACATTGCTGTAACCACCCACCTTCTTGTCTCCACTGCCTTCTTTGTCCTCTTCTGTTTTCTCTTCCTTTATTTCCTTCTGGTCCTCCTTCGTTTCTCCCTTCTCCTCTGTCTTTTCTTCCTTGGTAGATGGCGCTGGTGAAGGTACAGCTGACGATGACCTACTTTTGCTGAACTTTTCTATACACTCTGAGGCAGTTTTGTAAGGCATGCTCTCTGTGCCATTTATTGCTTCAAACTCTTGAACCTAAAAGAGGTCAAAGTACCATATAACCATGCAGCCTGGGGCAAATGAATCAATATTATATTTCACATCCTATTGCTCTTCCTTAAAAGCTATAAAACACCTGCTTTTTCTTGTCATTATCCACCTACACACACACACACACACACACACACACACACACACACACACACACACACACACAAGGATAATATATAACCTATATAAAACAATATAAGAACCATAACTGAAAACATCAGTTTTTATGCAAAACTTTCAAAAGGGTCCTGAAATTCCTACCTTCTTCCTCACAAGTGACATGATACCAATGCGCGTCAGCACGTGTTGCCTGGACAAACCCTCTCGTGGAACGCCATCTGCAAATGTGTCCGCGTTGTCAGCACCAGGTTCACACAGGTGGCGCATGAACAGCGAGACGTACGCCTTGAACACTTTCTCTGACTTTCCTCTTAGGTCTCGCACAAGCCTACAGTAAGAAGGAAAAGAACAGATATCACATACAAGCCAATAGTATAGGCAGTGTTTCCAAAAGACATGTCAAACTTATCAAGTAGTAATAACAATCTCTGCTTCATTGTTACAGTCTGCTGATCATATCTGTACTGTCAGTGCATGGGTGTGTCAGTCCAAATGACAAAATAGCTTTCTTATTATACTTACCTTTTATGCTTAGATCTGATATACAAGCAAGAAGATTGACTGACATGTAATCTAAATATAAAATTATTTTCATACACACAAACACAAACAAACAAAAAATGTTCTAAATATTATATTTATATATCTATTATGGAGATTTCTACTTCAGTGAAGCAGCAATAAATACTTACCAGTGTGAATTAAAAGCATCTTGAGGAGGCATGCCCCACCGCATCACTGCATTCAAGAAAGCCTTCCTCTGCCTGGCGTTGAAACCAAGCACCTCAATCTGACCGTTAACACGGGCCAGCAATGGCGGCAGAGGGCGATCCTTCTCTGGAACGCCACCACGTCTACGCCCTCCTCTGCCTAGTTCAGATTTTTCTTCAAAATCATCATCTTCATCATCACCATCTGGAGAAAAGTTAAGATGGAAAATATTAACTTTGATTCCTTTTTTAAGTTGCTTTTATGTTGCTTTTTTTCCTTTGAATGACAGTAGCAAATTCAAAAAACTATTTTCATTTAAAATTGTAAAATTTAATTTTAACTAACCATCATACAGAAGTTAATAACCAACATCTGCATTGAGACTGAGTCTTTATCACTCATCAACCCTTTTCCGATGTGTCACAAAATTTCACTTAATCGCTACAGCTAAATCTGATCAGTTATAAGTTGATTTCTCAGATTCTGTTATAACTAAGCTTGGTTAAGCACACAAAAATAACATGTGCATCCACTCTGAATCCTGTTTCACAAAAAATGTCATGTCAGATTTTGACTACTGTGAATTACCCAAGTTGTCTTCCAAAAAGGATGCTTTCCCAAGTTTTGTCTAAAAAGTTACCTAATAGCCTGGAGTTTAGCCTGCTCATAGGCAGGGCTAACTACCAACCAAGACAACTAACATTTTTTAAATTCTCAAATTGCATAGAAATACCTTCACACTCTGTTACAATCTTACTCAGTGTCACAAAATTATCAGAAAACAAAACATGACATCTTTTTATTTGTATTCATTCACTGACTGCTAGGTGTTCCATGAAAGCATTCTAAGAAATACTCATATTTTGATTACTGCTTTGATACAGAATTGTAATGTATCAAATTTAACAAAAAAATCTGAAACAAAAAAGTTATGTTTTGTTTCATAGTTAATCATGAACAGGCAACCTGTGGACCATGTATGGACCATATGACACTGATTTCCTCAGTCTTTTTAAAAGTTCCTTCAGCTGGTCAGATTAGACTGCTATCAATCATTGGTTTAATTGTAGTAGGCTAAAATCTAGATACTGGACTTACATAACCAAATTTACACAGACTTTGGTTTGTCAGTGATATCAGTTCAGAAAGCCTAAGGCCTTTTTTGTGAAACAAGAGTAAGCAACTATAAAGTAGACAACTATAAGTTATTACACAGAATGCACAGTTCAGCATGACAACTATAAATCATAGCACAGTGCACATCCTGGTGCTTTCATTACAATACAACACTGGTGACTTCAATCAATGTGTTATAGTGAACCAACTTTTCCTGTTATCTTTTGTTACTAACTAAACAGAAAGTTGCACAGGACTTCTGTTCAAGTGGCATTATTGAAGTACAACAAGGAATAGAAACCATCACAGGATGAGCTCAAATAACAGTCATTTCTCACTTATTTTAGATTAGTTGTTTTTCAAAATTTGTTGTACATTTCAAAACATGTTTGCTAAAAACCCAAATTTGAGACTAATTACAAAATCTTTAAAGAATTAAGATGTTTAGAAATTAAAAGCAGTTTTCAAAATTTGTGAGCAATAACTGTTTACGTTACCAATCTCTTGATGAGTTAGTCCACCACACAAGTCTTCACAATTTGGAGGCCAGAAAATAAAAGAACACTTACTACCTGTCTGGTCAAAATCGGAGTCAAAGTCGGACATGTTTTCATCCCAGTTGTCCTCATTGGTACCACCCATGGCGTCGTTGTAATTCACCTGCTTGCGCACACGTTTGCCCTTCCCCAGTGTGCGTGCCAGGTCCTCTTGCTGCTGCTCGTAGTGATGGCGCAGCAGCTTTTCCCAGTACGCGGGATCTGCATGCTCCACTTCCTGCTTCAAGATTTCTTTTTCTTCTTCCTCCTGTAAAAAATATAAACAGTTTATTACACAGCATACACAACTAAAACCTGACTTTGTAGCAAATATACAGACATCATTTACACAGAGAGGTGTGAATATTAAGATCCACATAGTCAACAGAGATTTCTATCACAATGTTCAGCTCACATCATTGCAACATGAATATTTCTATCAGAAAATGTTTCTAACAATTATCATATGAAAGGAACACTATCAAAAATAATCCTCATTTCAAAGGGTTCCATTTTTTGCCTACTAAAGATGAAAAATATTTCTGTACCAATCATACCTCACCTTACAACAAGAAATCACATAATGGCATGACACTCATATTGAAACTTATATTACCAGATACCAGTGATTTCACTGTCACAGCCTGGCAATGTCACAGACACTGCTCAGTGTCCAGACAGACCACCCACCTCTTCCTCCTCCTCCTTGAAGGCATAGCTGGCCACCTTGAAGGAAGTGAAGTATTCATTCATAGCCATCTCCTTCTCCTCCTGCCCCTGCTGTGTCCTGTCCAGCAGCTCCTTGACTGCTGCGTCATCGTACACTATCCTGCTTTCATTGGCCTGACTGCTATCCTCTGAACACACACACACAGACACCAACATTAGGACATGTTATGTCTATGACTTTTATTTTACTGATGTTCTCTATTTGTGATATAAAAGATTAAAATGAAATATGACTGTTTAGAATGCCTGCCTGAATTTGATTCTGTAAAAAGTAATTTAGGCCTTGAGTACCTGCCTTAAATACCTGACAATCTAAAAAATAACATGCCTTGGCCAATCCCTAATTTTACAATTTAATCATTCATCCTCCAATTATAAATAAAAGAAAAATTCACCAGTTTTAAATTCATCCTTGAACAGTTCCTCTGTGCCAAACTTGAGGATGTCATCCACCTCCTGTTTGGACATGGAGCCTCCTTTCCCTCCCAGGCCTGGCCGGACCACCAGGTGGGTTAACATCATCTTCTTCTTGGCCACCTGTGTAATTCTCTCTTCCACTGAAGCTCGTGTCACAAAGCGATAGATCATCACCTTATTGGCCTGGCCTATACGATGTGCTCTGCTGAATGCCTGCAAATGGACAGCAAAGTCAGAAGAAGGGTGCTGACATGTCACTCTGTAAATTACTATGGGTGTCCACTTATCAAGCCTTTTCTTTAAATGGACACAATCAAATATAATTGAAATGATACATGGTACATAGCATTTATAAAGGATAACTTTGAAACAAGAGAGCATTTGTATATAAACATTTAATAAAACTACATCTCATTTTCAGAACACAAAGGTTTATCAATTGCAGATCCAGGGGACCAGCACATTTCTGAAATACAGAAATATTTATCAATTCTACTTCTAAAAGGGGAAGACATTTTTAACAGAAAACAGAGCCAAATTCATATAATACTTCAATATTTACTGACAACATCAGAGTACATGTCATATCCTACCTGTATATCATTGTGAGGGTTCCAGTCACTGTCATAGATGATAACAGTGTCTGCTGTAGCCAGGTTAATTCCCAGACCACCTGCCCTGGTAGACAGCAGAAATACCATGGAGGGAGAACCATTCACTGAATTGAAACAGAACATTATCTTATACTTTGTCTGTAGCATTATTACTCTTCAGTAGATCACTGAATTACACAGTTAATAAGAAAAGTGAAAGAGAGACCCAGTCACCGAAAATGAAGAGATTTCTTAATCAAAAACTATGTCAGGGAGGAGAACATATAATGTAGAAGAAAGAGGACATCTTATTCTATTCCCATCCCTTGTTTCTGAACAATCTATATCAAACCCAGCAACTATAGATAATAAGGTGTCAGGTGACACCACTACCAACACCTAGTGCTGAGAAACAAACTTTCCTTGTTATAAAACAATTGCCAACTTGTCACAGACTAAATTTTAGTAGAAAAAGAGATTTGAAAGCATGTACACGTGAACATGTGCCTATGAAAAACTTGTGTCCATCGAGTGTTGTAACATTCTCATAAACTTACTAGTAGCTAGAAAATCTCAGGGTTAAACAGGTGAGCAAGATATAACTGTCACACCCACCTCCCCAGCTGACAGGTAAAGATAACACCACTGAGCAGTGGTCTATTCATTACAGTAGGAGTCAGATTGTTATCTGCTAGTTTGCTCCTGACCTGTGAAAGTTTCTCAAACTTAGCATAGTTGATGGAAGTTGTTAACAGTATATTATATGCCTGTCCATTGAGATGCCTTGTCTCCACAGGGGACACCTTGCAGAGCCAGAGTGCATAATTCAGGCTGTAACTATAAATAACCTTGTCCCCTAAAACTATTGCCATAATGAAAATCCCCAGTAACCTAAAGGTGCCGAGATGTACTCACTGTTAAACCTGTCAATGGCGTCCTGTCTCAGTGTTCCTGTCACACCGCCATCAATCCTCTCGTACTTATAACCCTCACACTCCAGGAAGTCTTCCAGGATGTCCAGCATTTTGGTCATCTACAAACAGAAAGTATTTCTTTAAAATGTTATGTACTTAACCTAAGTGAAAGAAATAATTGTAATCGTTTTTTCGCTAAATGGGTTCAAGTCTCTCAGTTTAAAAAAAATCCTAAGCTTGGAGAAAAAAGACATTTACAGGACTTTGCTTTATTCAATTGCATCAAATACACGATATATTATTCTTTTGTTTTCTATCTTATTTTTTTTTCTGCTTCTATATACATTCTTTGTATATAATTAATCTATTTCCCATATGATGTAATCTAAAGGAGAGCTTAAAATGTATTGCAAATGGCCTCCTCCTCTTTCTGAATAAACTGAGGCATTAAAGAACAATATAAACTATATGTGTAGTGTGTCTCTAGTAGAGATAATACAGTGAAGCCTAGGCAGTCACCTGAGAGAAGATCAGCACTCTGTGGCCCTCTTCCTTCAGGATGTTCAACATCTTAGACAACAGCTCCAGTTTCCCACAAGCTTTGATCAGAGCACTGCCCTCAAACATTCCATTGGGCAGCTTGGGTGCTTCCTGAAACAATAGGCTAGCAACTTGACTTTTATCATTTAAACCACATTGCGAGGAAGATATATTTCCTTTTTCAAACTTAAATGTACTGATCTCTATACAGTCATAGAGTTGGTTTATTTCCCCCTGTTTACACAATCATCTCACATAAACTTTACTATATATACATGGGAAATTACATATTATGAACTAAGTATAACAGAATGAAATGGTATTCATCAATTCTGTTAGAAGTCATTGAGAAGTGAGTGTGGTGCTCCTTACATCAGCCGCAGTGGGGAACAGGTAAGGATGATTACAGCACTTCTTCAGGTCCATCATGATGTTCAGGAGGGACACGTTATTACCTCCACGGGCATTCAGAGCTTCAAAATTCCTCGTCAATATGTACTTGTAATATTTCCTGAAAGAGAGGAAAAACATCCTCTAATAACTTTACTTATAAATTACTGTACTGTTACTGTTTACAACTATATCTAAAACCAACATATTATCTAATTTTTAACCTTTTTAGGCTTTCCACTAATGCTAAAAATAACAATTGGTAATCAATGTTTAATGATCTATCATAGGATCTGGCACCTCATATACTGGGTTTTCATGACTTGGACACCTTAGTTTACCTTTGTTGATGCAAGGGGCTCTTATACTTGCCAAAACTTAGTCCATAACACATTCCAAAACCAAAACAGGTGTGAAATTATGTTGATTTTTTTGCATGGATTCCAAGTTAGTTTGATGAACAGTAGCTATACAAGTTTTCAAACTGCTATGAAAGCAACAAACAGGAACTTTAGGATATTTGGTTAAGATCACAGAGATGTGGTCTACTTACTTCAGGATATTTGGTTAAGATCACAGAGATGTGGTCTACTTACTTCTGCATGGGGCTGAGCTCCACTCTGACAATGAACTCACTCTTGGATGGTATTCCCTTCAGGACATCTGCCTTCAGTCGCCGCAGTAAGTGTGGGCCCAGCATGTCATGTAACTTCTTCACCTGCTCCTCCTTCCCTATGTCTGCAAACTCATCCAGGAACACCTGCAGATTCCTGAAATATGGAAGGAGATAGACATTTATACCTGGGAGCACAGTGTGTAATTTGCTCCCAAGGCTTTCAACCTCTGAGAACCTGCTCTGATGTGACTGCTCTCTAGAATAATCACAAATTGCCAGTGCTAAGCTTAAAAAACTGCTTCTGTCATATTCTTGTAGCTAGACTGACACAAAACTGCTAGGGATTCTTCTTGCACAACCCTTCTTTCAGCATAAATAAAGAGTGTCAATGCACTACACCAATTTGATGGATTAAAGGTACTGTAAGGGTTTATTACAATCCAGAAACCAAAATTGAGTTTTTTCCTGTATCTAATTATTCATTAATTCATCTACATTTGTGATGATTAAAAGAATAAAAACGACCTTAAAATATAAAATATCAGCATATATATTTCTCATTGCTATGTCTCATTAATAAAGCCAATGAAAATACACAGGTATAAACTTAATAGCACACACTACCTGAAGTCATCTGGAGACATGAAGTTGAGCAGGTGGAACAGTTCCTCCAGGTTGTTCTGCAGTGGAGTACCAGTCAACAGCAACTTGTAGCCAATCTTGTATGCACTGAGCACCTTGAAGAACTGGAACCAACACAAAGCCAGTCAGCTACACATTATCACAAAACCTAAGTCTATTTGAAAATACCCAACATCTTCCCTCTATCATTTCAACCACTACCCATCCTAGATGGCTCTCATTACAATTACAATACTGCAGATAATCAGTCTAACAGTATGTCCTGTATGCAAGCTACAATACTTTGACTTAACCAGTAACACCACCTACTTTTGATTGGTTGTTTTTCAGCCTATGAGCTTCATCCACCACCAACACTCCCCAGTCCACAGAGCCCAGAGTCGCCTGGTCAATGCTGATCAACTCATAGGAGGTCAATAGGACATGGAATTTAACAGGGCACTCTTTGCGCATCTTTGATGCCTTTGTGCCACCACGGATTGCACCCTCCTCGAAAGAAAACTCATGCTCTCTGAAATTGCATAGAAATCATGAATATATGCAGTAGAAATCATCCCTTAAATGTCTTTAATGTTAATTTCTTAATATCTTCAAGCAGTGACTCCGAAAAGTGTTGGACCCCTGTGGAAATCCAGTAAATTATTGAAATTTTTCCAAAATTGAAAGCCAAATGAAGCACTACTAAACAACAGCATTTAATCCCAATGAAAATGACATGAACTGTTACCTTATAACATGAACTGGTTACCTTATAACATGAACTGGTTACCTTATAACATGAACTGTTACCTTATAACATGAACTGGTTACCCTATGACATGAACTAGTTACCTTATAACAGCGCGGCTGTCTTTGTCCCCCACATATGTGACCACATAGAAATCTGGCGCCCAGAACTCAAACTCTCGCTCCCAGTTGATGATAGTGGACAGAGGAGCACTGACAAGAAACGGTCCCTTCGAGTGACCCTGAAAATGCAGGTCAAGGTCAGTAAGTGATGGACAAGGTGATAAAAAGTTTATCTCAACTTCAAAGTGAGCTTCTGTGTAAATATCTCAGTGTTATCTTTAAACTTGTACATATTTGTTTCCCTGACAGAGGCAAAAAAGTGAAATAAATTAGCCACCTTTGGTTTATGCTACCTACCTCTTTATACAATGAATACAAAAACACAATAGTCTGTATAGTCTTGCCCAGTCCCATCTCGTCAGCTAAGATGGTGTGGATACCATGACACCAGGAGTAGCGCAGCCAGTTTAATCCCTCCAGCTGATAGGGATGCAGGGTGCCACCAGTGATGTCAATATAGTCCGGCTGCTGGTCCAACTTCCTCTTCAGCTGCAAAGAAAGGAGGGGTAATTCATGCTGCTTTGTTTACCTGTTCTGTTTGAAATAAAGGTAGTACATAAGTTTCTACAGCCAATATATAAAGATTATGTAATACAGTGTGACATCCCCCCTCCCAAAAAAATTTTACTGAGAAAAAAATTCATTTTGCACATAACTGCTAGATGGCAGCACTTACATCTACCACAGGGACCTCTGGTGGCAGTTTAAACATCTGTTTACTTGCTTCTTCCTCTGTCTCCTCTTCATCTTCTCTATCTTTTCCTTTCCCTTTGCCTTTCCCCTTCTTTCCTTTCCCTCCTTTCTTCCCTCCTTTTGCTGATCCTGTCTGACCTAGCATCATGGATCTTCAAATAAAAGAGTCCACAATAAAACATTAGTTATCAAACATTATGAACTGAGTACATTCCTACAACCACTGCCACTAAGACAACACCGTTTCCATTTCATAATTCCTGATGACCAATAATCAAATTTTTCAAAAAAGTGTTGTCAAACTTATATTAATGCACTGGCTTACCTTGTAGCTACACATAACCTTGTTTTGGATTTTAATCTGTGCACACAATACAATATCTCAGCCTGCTAAAATCAGGTAGCCAACTAGATAAAGTCAACTTTAGGTCAAGCAAGGTTCTGAGAGGACGTGTGTACATTGTTGCCAGGACAATCAACTGTGGCTCAAGGGGCTTACTTCAACCAAATATTTCAGGTCTGCAGCCATTTATATTCCTGGTAATATTTCAGCAGTCTGTCCTTATTAAATGAGACTGCCATTGGGTGAAAATGTCTGAAAATATGGCATGGAGTCAGACCTCCCCCCTCCCACACACAAAACCTTGCAGATCTGGGCTCTATAACTCAAAAGCATTGCAAATTGCGACCACACTCAAACATGTCAATATTGCCTAACTGGAAGAAAATGCAATGTGTGATGGAGCGCTAACAGCAATATCACGGCATGTTTCCAGGCTGTTATTTGAGACTAGTAAATCCTGTTGTAATTGTCTTTGCGTTTGCATAATTTGTCATTATACAGTGTCAATAATATGATTAAATATTGTGGAAAATTTTGGTTACTAATCATAATAGCAATAAAAAAGCATGGAAGATTATAAAACATTGAGACACTCAGAACCTCTCACAGAAAAAGCTTGTGGCAAATTTCATGTGAAAAAAGATGCATATATAGAATATTATTTCATGAAAGACTAAAAAAAATTACTGATGAACATTTTACAAGCGTTTTACTAAGCACAAAAATTTCACAATTGGTCACACTGCGACCTTCCTCAGAGTGTATTATTATGAGACTGAGCACTACTCACTAATGTATCAGTACTTATAGTATCAATCCATAATAACATGTGCACTTCCCTTATTGAATTGTTTTTCACATTTTATTGGTGTCAAACACTTCAAACAGTAGTATTTGTAATTGTGATATTCCTATAAATTAAAATTATCTCTTGATTAGCTACAAATCTGTCAGCAAACAAAAGCGCCCAGCAATAATTTTGCCCAGACAGATAACTACTGTAGTGACATTTATGCCAGAAATTTTTTCACAAAAGGAGGAGGCAACAGAGCTAAAATCTCCAGATCCTACATCCCTCCAGATGTACAGTAAGCTACAGGGCTGAAATCTCCAGATCCTACATCCCTCCAGATGTTCAGTAAGCTACAGGGCTGAAATCTCCAGATCCTACATCCCTCCAGATGTACAGTAAGTTAAAGGGCTGAAATCTCCAGATCCTACATCCCTCCAGATGTACAGTAAGTTAAAGGGCTGAAATCTCCAGATCCTACATCCCTCCAGATGTACAGTAAGCTACAGGGCTGAAATCTCCAGATCCTACATCCCTCCAGATGTACAGTAAGTTACAGGGCTGAAATCTCCAGATCCTACATCCCTCCAGATGTACAGTAAGTTACAGTGCTGAAATCTCCAGATCCTACATCCCTCCAGATGTACAGTAAGTTACAGTAAGCTACAGTAAGCTACAGTAAGTCTACCTCAGACATGGTCAACAGCAGGGGGACCTGGGCATACCTTGTTATACAGCTTACACCAATTCCACCCTTTCAGGCAAAATGTCTAAATATACGGAATGACAAAATCTTGCAGAAGACTGAACCTGGTTTTGCAAACCTAGCCCTGCCAAAAGAATGTCTGCTCTTTAGTTTTCACTGGAAACTTCAATAGAAGTTATTAAAATAAGCCCAAATCAAAAAAGTTGCCTTAAAACTTGATTTAAAACCTTCATTATTAACAGAACTACCTAATTATATAAACTGATGTTGCTATACCTTAATTCAAGTACGTGTTAATGGCACAAATCTCTAGTTTACTTACGTACAGAAACTGCAAATTGTGTTGGATATGTGTGCTTGTTCAACATGTTAATATTGCTTAAATATAAATTTACGAAGACAGTGAAACTCGAAAAAAGTTCTAAAACAGACAAGCACAAGAAAAGGACATCACTGAGACATTAATTACACATTTCATATGTTCAAAAACACTAAAACACTATGTTAAACAAAAGCTAGCACAGCAGGTCACTGAAGGTCAATGTGAAGGTCACACTGACCAATCAAGTTTGCCAAAAAGTCTACATCAAAGTGAAGAACAATTCAAATATGTGATGCTACACAACACAGAATACATCCAAGTCACTGCATCCCACAGTCACACAAAGCAAGTTGTTTTACCTTCTGTTCCTTGGTTTTGACATCTGTTCTCTAAAAATTATGAGACAGCAAAAGCTGAGGTTCAAACAGTCCAGGACTTGCACAGATAAAGGAATCATTAACCAAACTTCTATTACTACTATAACATGAAAACACTGTGTTCATTTATGAAATCACATGCAAAAACAAAATGTATAAAAGAAAAGAAAGTGTCAAAATATCTTAGAAAGCAAGGACCATTCAAACTTTATTATTGCCTGAAACTCTTGAAGCCAAGCAACATAAATGTAACATAAACCTGATAATAAAAGCAGTGTTTCAGCCTTAAAAATAGGGGAATGTTACACTAGCAGCAGTACTGCCTTTAACCATTGCAGAAAGCATCCACAAGAACAGGACAGAACATCAAGGTGAATAGGAAAATGTAGAAACCAAACTCCCCAGACTAAGGGTCCCCCAAGGCATCCATTCCACCCCCCAGGGCTGTGGTCTCACCTGAGCTGATGGTAGCGTTCCACCTCCTTATCAAACTCTGCTATCCCAGACTCCTCATTCTCCCACGTGGCCTGCTCGTAAGGAAGGTCACGCCATTTAACAAGGTACCATGTCCTGCCATCTCTAGTTTGTCTGAAGACACAGAATGCTTTCAATGAAATTGACACCAATAACTTCCCAGTGTGTGTATTGTGTGAGCATGTACGCAAGCATGAATGTGTGTAAAAAACTATGCATTGCATTGCAAGTGTTAGAATTTACTACAAAAATTGGACATTTGCCATATCATCTTTCTTTCCCTTTCATTTCATTAAGGCTAAAAAATGCCTATCATTCTGATCAAACAATAAAGATATCAGTCTGTTTAATACGGACTGTTGCTACAGTATGACATTCTCTCTCTTAAAAATCCAGAGGAGAGTACAGGGCCAGAGAGAAGCAGCCAAATTACATATGCTCATTAAATTAAATGCAGTTATTACTGACAACCATCAATTCAAATAGCATAATAGATAGAACACAACTTATTTTAAAAACCTGTTTATGTACATTTCCTTGATTTTCTAGGACATTTTAAAAACATCTTTTACACACACACACACACACACACACACACACACACACACACACACACACACACACACACACACACACACACACACACACACACACACACACACACACACACACACACACACACACACACTACTTGACAGGGGAGGTGCACTACCACCCCATTTCACCTGTGGTTGATGATCCTGTTGATGGTCAGCCACTCTGGTCGCACCCCATAGCGGTAGAACCTCCCCTCCAGGTTGTGGGGGTCTTCCTCTTTATAATCCTTCATCCCAAAGCTGCTGCCATCCTCCAGCGGTGGGGGCTCGTCCATGTCATTCTTCCTGATGTAGTTACGGTACATGGCTGGGTGGTAGACATCATACTACAATACAAACAACACTGGAACTACTAGTTATGGTACATGGCTGGGTGGTAGACATCATACTACAATACAAACAACACTGGAAGTACTAGTTATGGTACATGGCTGGGTGGTAGACATCATACTACAATACAAACAACACTGGAAGTACATTTTTAACTATTTGCTACAGCTCTAAACATCATTTGAATACATCTTATGTTTCAAAACAAATCATCACATTTACTCTATATTGTAGCAGCACTCTAGACCCAGGGCAATTGCATAAGCAATTGCTTATCTTAAGAATGAAAAAATATCCTCATCGTTTACTTTTTAGCAGCTTTGTAACAGCCTTCGTTGACAATCATATAGTTGACACATCTTAAGAATTACTTTAAGTTCTTTAGATATAAAATGAGTGTTTGCTTAGGTGCCAGTGTGTTGTAGATGGGACCCTGCCAGCCAGCTGTGACTCAGTACAATCACAGCCATGTTTTGTGGATACCTGCAGTTCTGTTATCCAGCTACAGTGCCAGTAAGACATGTCATGCCACTTCACAAAGAACTCCCTGGTAGGCTTGTGGTCAAACTGGAAAAATAAATATAGCAATTTACAAGATCATCCAGTCTAACACATAAAACTATTTTACTTTTGTTCTTAAAATAGCTTTGTGGAAGATCATTTTTTGTACTGACTTGGACAATAAAGAAGCTCAACATAAAAGATATTGATTAAAAGTTAACAGATATCAGATATCCCTGGGGTAAACTTGGCAGTCATTGTGCATCCAGCTCACCTTCTTCTTGGTGGGGCTGTGGGTGTGGTCCAGCTCGTCTGCCATCTTGGGAGGTTCCACCCAGCGCCATGTGAGGACTTTCTGGACTTTACCCTTCAGGGGCTCACACTGAAACATCATCAACTATATAGCTTTGGGGCATAGAAAACTGTCAACGTCTTAGTAACCTCAAAGGGAAATGATGTTCTCCATATTTTAAACAGTAATTTATTAATCAGTAATTGGTTAATTAAAATTAACAACAAGTTTTAATCTTGCTTAAGAAGTTATCAACGATTACCTAAACAACAAAATTTGCCCCAAGACTTACCCCACATCGCGGGCAGTGCCATTCTCCATCAGGAATCTCCTTCATGGGCGGGTTAAGACAGTGCATGTGATAGGCTGATGGACAGCTATCACAACACAAGAGGTCACCACCATCTTTACAAGCGCGGCAGAACTCCATGTGTTCATCCTCCTCCTGCTCCTGGGCACCCTCTGCCTCCTACAACATAGGGCAGCATTACATTTAACTGCATCATCTGGTGAGATTTTATAATTATCTTTGTCTTTGTGGACTGTAAACTAAGCTTCCCACTTGAATTCAATTTTTCACATTAGTCTGTCATAAAATTTAGCTTCTGAAATGACTTTCAGTGTATTCGAAAATTTGTTTAAATGTCTAAACAGCTACAAAATTTACACATTTCAATAATTGTGTAAACTGGTAGTAAAGATGCAATATAGGGTGAAAACAAGAGATTTCCAAAAACAAGTCTCTACAATCTAGGCACTACTCCACATTCCAGTGTGTGCAATGTACAGGTGTCCTGGGACTCACACAGTGTGGACAGCTCCACTTCCCCTCGGGAGCCTCTTCTAGTTCTGGATCCAGACAGACCAAATGATAGGCACGTGGACACGTGTCACACAGGATGATCTCTCCTCCCTGCTGGCATACCTCACAGTAGTCCTGGTGGTCAGTCTGTAATGACAACAGTGGACAACATTACATAACATACTACAGGATATATCAACTTAACAGAACTTAACATCCTGCCATACTGTCTACTGGAACATAGCATACTGCCTCACAGCACATCACAGCTAAATACACATTATTTTGTTTTACAGAAGATTGAATGACTAGAAGCACAAAATGATAAAACAGTTATCATGCCAAGATATCAGATAGATTTTCTGATAAACTGCAACTTTGTTACATCTGTTAAAATTAAAGAACAGCACAATTTTCCACATCAGCTTTGTTAGTTTATGGTCAATTAAACACTACAGTACACATTTAACCTTGAATACCTCAGTTATCTGAAAACCCTTATCACCACATTTCCTACTGTTGAAGACTTGCAATATGTCCTATTTCAACAACTTTCATAGCAATTCCCTTCATCATGAAGGGTCTAAAATATATGTTTTATATCATAAATGAGGTATGTTTGAATTTTAGGGAAAATTAATCAGGATAATCAGTGAATGAACATCTAAATTTAGAAAAGAAATGCTGACATTTTGCACACTGACCAAGGGCAGAATAAATCTCCATTTCCTAGCACTTTTCCATACAGATACAATTCTTCAAAACATACACCTTTCCTCCACAATAAAAGGTCGGTGGTCATAATTGTATAAAAGGTAAATATTTCTTTACAATTTCATTTCCACAGCTGATAAGAATAACAGGCAAATAAAAACAGAATTTTGTAATGCAAATGTTCACGCAGCTTGCAGTTCTGTAAGCGTGGGAAATAAAGCAGTAAGCTTGTCAATGTCAATCAGATAGCAACACATCAATCACTGGGGAATTCATAAGTTGTATCCCAAATACCCAACCCAACAAAACTCTCATTATTGCAACTGACAATTAAAATGTTAATAGTATGTGAAAAAATACAGCTAAGTTGTGCAAAAAATACCATTAACAAAATGAAGACAGATTGTAGGAATATATATATTTGAAATAATTTACTTCAAATTTCTGTTTGTTTTCTGTTTAGGTTGGTGACAGACAGGAATGGGAATAGCAGGGGTTAATCTTAAAACCCCACCATCAATCTTTCCATGATCCAAAAATAATTTGAGTTAGTGTGCAAAATCAATGATAGCACTTATAAACAATAAAGTGCCAACAAACAATTTTTAACATTTTAAACCCCCCTCCACCCCACTGGTTGTTTGTTTAGATGAAAGTGTCAAATGTTGAAAAGAAAGCAACTTTGAATACTGTCATGCTGATCAGGACTTGACAGGTTTTGGTCATTGTTTACTTTATCATTTAAGAACGGACATCGGAAAGTTGAGACACTGGAATACATAACATGGCATCTAGCAGCCCACTACCAACCTCATATCCGTCTGCGTCGTTAAGGTTCGCAGGAAAAGTACTGGTTCGTTTGATCTTCTTAGAGGCATTCCGCCCTCGGCCTTTCTTCATTTTACACTTTCTAACAGTGGGGGTCCCCTGGGGCTCTTGGGAGAGGGAGTTGGACGGAGAGGCCAGGAGAAAGAAAGAAAATTTTAAAAAACTAAATATCGCTAGTGAACAGCAAGTCTAAGATAAGAATAGATCAAGAGATGAATACAGAAAGAATATTTATCAAAGGGAATAAAAAGACCAAGATAAGAATAGATGACAAGATATATGCAGAAGAGATCATCTAGGGCTGGGGAAAATGTCAATTTTTTTATATGAAGATTTCTTCCATTTTATGTTTGTATTTTTATTTCTAAGCCAAAAATCTTCTTTGGAGACTTATCACTGTTAAGATCATGTTGGTTCACATGGTGAATGTCTAGATAAGAATGCTCAGGCAGAAGCTCTTAACACCACATTCAGACTAGATGGCGCTGGAGGTGGGTTCCAAGGCACAGAAGACAGTGCTGATGGGGTCATGGGCAAATCAGTTGATACTAGTTAGCAAAATAATCAGCAAAGAAGTTTTCTTTTCCTTATTTTGTTTGAGAAATCATGAAGGTAGCAGTAATCATGGTTGGTTGCATAGGCTGTCGTTAACCAGTGCAGTTAAAGCTAAAGTGTATCCCTTTCCACTCCAAATATTACAGTGAAAGTTATGTTAATCCAAAACAGACCAACAATAAAAAGTGATAAAAGTGTAAAAACAAGACTTTCTATATTCCAGGTTTACCTTAACTCTCTACTGCTAAAACTGGCATTATTTGGCATTTAAAAGTTAATTCCACAAACACAAATTATTAAAGAAAGGTACACAGATAGCTTTAGTTTTTTCTTTAACATTGCAATTAAATGAAAAATGTCAAAGGAAAACAGTTTTTTTTTTCTAGATCATCTGAAGCAGCTTGTCTTTCATCCCAGGCAGTTCAACAGAAGAGGGTATGGGGTTATTACCAAGAATGGGTTAAGTTGATGAAAGTTTAATAACGAGATAAGAAATGTTAAGAAAATGGCATCATTACTTTAAATAGTATGATTTCTTAAAGTTTTACACTAAATATGACTGACTTAAGACCCTTCTATTTTGAAAATCTCAAAGAAATAAACAACACCACTGCAATTTAAGCTAGTAGCACATGTGATTAAAACTGTGCATTTTGGTGCAACCAAGTACACTGGGTATACACTGCTCTAGCTTTAGTTTCATTGTCACTACAAACATGTTACTGATTTACATTTCAGTGAAAGAACAAGTTTATTTTAGATGGAATATTATCTTTTGAATTCAGTGTATTACTCAGTTGTACAAACTTGTACCAGAAAATGCTTGTGTGACTGTCTAGTAAAGTAAAACAACAATCCAAGAAAAAAACCAAAATATATGTATATTTACTTCATATCCCTCCGCTTCTGCCTCAGACAAGAAGGAACCCTTTTTGACCTTGGCCTTCTTGGCGTTACGTCCACGTCCTTTCTTCACTTTACTTTTCTTTGGGGCAGACATGTTGCTGGATTCTGACTGGACTTCACTGATAATACTGGCTTCCTCCAGCTGACGTTCAAACTCTTCATCACTGGTGTTGAAGCCGCCACCTTCCTCCAGCTCTTCCTGATCAACAGAAATAAAATAGCATCAACTATCAAAAACACTCACTTCCATGGTGGTTAATCTCATCTACTTGACCAGTGGTTCAATTATAACTACATTAAACTGGACAACCAAAGGAATTGCTGTTTCCAAAATTTTAGTTTAGCTTCATGCAGTTTCCATTAAGATGATCAACTGGACAGACTGACAATAACTAACCAGTAATTAGGTCATCAAAGTGAAAGATGCAGGAAATTTTAAATAACAACAGAGATATTACTATTACTATCTCTTTTGAATTATTACAAAATAGTGTGCTTTAAGTTTTTAGTTAAATAATTTGAATTACTTTTTTTCAATAAATAGGTGTAATGAAAGTCGTTGTTGAATACAATGAAGTACTACTTTACAAAAGTCTTACATCGCTTCCCTTTTTCCTCTTCTTCTTCTTGGTGAGTTTGATCTTCAGAGGGGCCACAGACTTGCCTTTGCCCTTGCCTTTCTTCCCCTTCTGCTTAGAGGGCGTCCCCGGGGTACTGTCTACATCCCCCAGGTCTCCGTCATTACTGCCCTCCACACTGATATCAGGGTCAGCCTCTGATAGCAACACAATAAACACTGGATGTCAGAGTTATGTCAAACCATGCAATAATGAGAAAATCCTATCCTGGCAAAGTATTTCTTTCAGCCAATTAGCCTGATGATTTGTACAAAAATATTGAACTAAATCAATGATAAATTTGTCAATAAACAGTAAATATTTTGTTTAGTTACAGTAATATATTTAGTATATATGGCTGCTACATACAAGGGTTAAGTGAGAAAAGCTACATTTCACAAAAGGTACACTTTAGAAACATATCACATTCTGAGGTTAGGAGCAAGTAAGTAAGTAAGTAAGCTTATACAGAAACAAGTGTTTTAAATCTTAGACTAGAATAAGTCTGAATTCATGACTTACCTTTCTGAAGCTCAGGTAAAGCCCCTAAAGCCAAGAACTCTCTCCACTTGGCAGCGACAAGTGACGTCATCTTTGTCATGGGACATTTAGGATTCTCTTTGGCCAGCAGGGGGCGAATGTGTGCAGAGTATGCCTTATAGGTGGTGAGGTTGACAAAGTCTTCATCAGAGTATTCAAGTTCCACATTCAGGAGTCCATGTTCTTGGCATATCTCTTCTGCTGTCTTCTGATCCTAATGACAAATAGCTGTTAAATGTTTCATGAAGATCTAGCTAACTAGTACTAGTAGCTGTTAAATGACCAGCAGATTGTACAACTGTTATCTAAATCTCCAAAATGGAAAGAGAGGAAAAGTTTCTCCTCCTTCCCATCCATTCTCAAAAAAAAATTAATAATGATAAATAGATAACATAATAATAATAAATTAAAAAATTACTTCCACCTTAACATAAATCTTGACAAGAGTTTTGTTTACACTTTTTATAAAAAATGATAGGATTAGAGCATATCCATTTTTGTTCACATAAAAACCCCTCACACAATAACACACTCTGATGCTGAATTCCAATCACAGTGCAAATACAGTGGTAGCAATATTAGATGCATTGTTGTGGAAGCTTAATGTTCATTTTTTTCTTGGAAATATAAATATTAAAGCAGAAATACAGGTAATAATAGTATGTCATAATGGAATAGAAAAAAGTTAAATATGGTTGTCAAATGTGTTTAATACTTCAGAAAACTGTTTTTTTTTTTTAATTTATTATCAAACAATTTCAAATTATTGGTTTGGCTAAAATCCTCCAGCCATTTTGATATCATTCCATTAAGTACAGATCTCCCCTCCCCACTTGAACTTCAGGTGCAATTCACGCCAGCTTCTTCATTTTGGATTCTCCAAAAGATCTACCTGGCCTTCAGCAGTGCCCGTCATTTGAGCATCTAAGCTGTTATATCAATTCATAGCTTACTGCTGTGGACGGCATGTGACAAAATAAAGAAGTCTGTGATTGGTGCAATACATTTATATCAAAAGTCTATTAAGATGTGGCAAGCAGGGATGTGGTAAGTATACAGGAACGTGGTAAGCAGGGATGTGGTAAGTATACAGGAACGTGGTAAGCAGGGATGTGGTAAGTAAGCAGGGATGTGGTAAGAAGGGATGTGGTAAGTAATCAGGGATGTGGTAAGCAGGGATGTAGTAAGCAAGAAGGGATGTGGTAATCAGGGATGTGGTAAGTAAGCAGGGATGTAGTAAGAAGGGATGTGGTAAGCAGGGATGTGGTAAGTAAGCAGGGATGTTTTAAGCAGGGATGTGGTAAGTATGCAGGGATGTTTTAAGCAGGGACGTGGTAAGTATGAAGGGATGTGGTAAGCAGGGATGTTTTAAGCAAGGACGTGGTAAGTATGAAGGGATGTGGTAAGCAGGGGTGTGGTAAGTATGAAGGGATGTGGTAAGCAGGGATGTGGTAATCATGGATGTGGTAAGAAAGGATGTGGTAAGAGAAATGGTAATCAAGGATGTGGTAATCAGGGATGTAGTAATCAAGGATATAGTAAGCAGGGACGTGGTAAGTAAGCAGGGATGTGGTAAGTATGAAGGGATGTGGTAAGCAGGGGTGTGGTAATCATGGATGTGGTAAGAAAGGATGTGGTAAGAAGAGAAATGGTAATCAAGGATGTGGTAATCAAGGATGTGGTAA